TGATTCTCTCATGCATGCCATGGCACATAGGGTCAATAATAGCAAGCTTTCTACCAGCATTGTGCTTACAAGAAATAACTGCATTTGACCTCGAGAGGACGGTGTTGGGATGTTCGGTTGACCAGTGTAGACCGTGCAAAGAGCGTTAATCCGATGGCTGTTTTTCTTTTGCTCACTCCTGACTGGCTCGTATGTTTTGGCAACCCGAGTACCGTGAAACAGCAATAATGCGTTTCAATTCAGCACAAATTTTCGCTCTGGCACATAATGTGTTGGCTTGCAGGTTCGCAAAAACACTTAGCTGCCGTGCTGCTGCTTATGACCTCTCTGTTTTCTTCCCGCTTCCTATATCCTATGATTATCCTATATCCTACCTTGTTCATTCAAACGTTGAGTAGTGATCACAACATCTCCTCTGGCTTCAGATAGTGCGCAAATGTTTTTGGTGTCTTCAGCACTCCATTTTGGCCTTTTTTGCAAGTTTAAGTGGACGCGTCCGCGGCAGAAGTCAAGCCAGGCTACTTTCTTGCAAATTCAAAATGGGTTGTTTTTTTCCTCTTGTCAACTGGCCTGCGTTCATTAGGACCGCAAATGTAAGGAAACTTGACACCGGGTTCTCTTTCATTTGAATCGAACACGCTGAATACTTTCCTGGCTTCGTGCAGAATCCGTGTTCCTTCAAACTGCTGTCTATCGGTTTAGATTTTTGTCAATAACGCAATTAGGATAAGTGCATATGTGGCATATCCTTATCGCACTTCGCCAGGGAATATGTGTCAAAGAATATTGAGTCTTTGGAGCTTGTATATGCAGTAATGGACTTTTAATTTGATCTTGTGTCATTCGCATTGCTTTTATCGCTAGTAGCAGTCGCTGCCTTTTGAAAGAACGTTTGAAACCCTGAGAGCATCTAGCCAAGAACGTGTCACGGAACAGCATCATATGCTACGTACTTTCTGTTTGTGGCGACCTCATCTCTGCCTTTCTGTAAACCTGTGCATCCGTTTCGCTGTATCACGTCCGTTGAATGCATTTCACGTCACACGCATGCTTACATCCTGTTAAAAACCATGCCGCACCAAAGTGAGTTGTACACCCCGTGCAGGAGGCTCAACAACGCAACGCTTTCTACGAACATGCTTCTTCTCCTGCAGCTCAAATCGCCAACAAATCGAAGCAGATAAATTCTGCAATAGGAAGCATTTGCATTTCGTCACACAAACGTTTTTGGGGAAAGTGTTTTCCAAGTGTTCCCGTTTATTGAGTTCCTGAATGCATTAGCAAACAAATGAGGTGCCTGAGGGCTGTCCACAACATAATGGGAGGCAGTCTCCATCTGCGAGCTGTAATGTTCTTTATTTCGTCTCTGCAATGTGTTACAGACTTTTACATACTTCCTGCCAAGGGTGAGGTCTTTTGCAATACGCGCGTAAAATATATGCGCGGCCGTTTAATCCGCTTAGTACTTTCAGACAAAGATTCAGACTTTATTTTTCCGAAGTCCAAATAAGAACATTACCTAGGAACATCAAGGGATCGTACTGTACGAATTAATCAGCATCGGCAAAGAGGACGCACTCTGAGCAGCGACATGATTCAGCAACAAGAAATTCCCCAACATATTTGCCTCTCAATCTCGACAAACCGAACAGTGATGCATACGATGCTGCAATGCCTTATTACATAAACGTAGAGCTCTTGCGCAACAGAATAAACGGCATTACGTGTGGAAAACCAGTCACACAGCCAAGGTGCCCGTAACTCCACCGGGTACTCTAGGCTTACCCACTATTAAGCAAACCGTCTCAAAACGTGCGCTGGCACTACTACGCGCAAAACGGGAAACTCTCAGAAACATTATTGGCTGCACTCTGGCTACCCACGCGCCAGCCGATGCCACCATAAAATAAAATTCCTTCGATCTTTGTGTGTTTGCCGTAATGAAAATTAATTTCCTTCTCAACAAGCATGGCGTAGCCTCTGCGTCGACATTCACGGGCTCATTTGCACTCGCAGCTACGCAAAGTCCTAGCTTGCTGTCTTCACCATTGAACATGCAGTCTCCTCACAAACGCCTCCTCGCCAAATCAAAGTCCGCACAAACAGCCAAATGTACGTCATATGCCAGCACTACCTGCACTGCCGACATTTCAAACACAGCACCTGAAGCACATAGCTGACACTACAAGATCCATGCATTTGTATACGAAGATATTCGCTTCATCTTCGACGCGTGTGACGCCTCGGATCAGCAGATGCTCACACAGACGTCCTGCATTCCGACCTTCGAAGCCTGACTATGGTTTGTCTTGAAGACTTTGGCAACGCCTACATCTACCACACGTCTTACAAGCCAGAGCAGCATCGCCAAAGCCAACCGATTCCGACGTTTGTGCCTTTGTGACCTGTCTCCACCAAATAGAAGCAAACCAAAGCAGCCGCAGAGAGGACTTGACATCTTCTTTGCTAGCTCTGCAAGCAGCAACATGCGCGTGATCTCCCATCGCTTGAAGGTGCCAATAGGCACACGGTCGTCGTCGCCACCACGCTCGTGCGTACTTCCTGTCGATGTCCAGTACATACCAAGCACAAACACAAAATTCATATTCGCCACTTCAAGCTGTGTAGCATTGCCACAGCAACACCACATACGCCGCAAAGCAGAACAAACGAAGCAGCTACAACGTATAATGCAAGCACAATCGCGCAGAGCGAGATTCACTCCCGTTGCCATTTTGGCTCACCATCCTGGGAAAATGTTGTGTGCGAAAACCTCGCTACAGCGACGTGCATGTGGTCTCGTGTCCGTCGACGATACTCAAGAGTTAACAATTACGTGCCGCATCGCAGTTCCTTCACAGCTTCATAACTGGGCAACTGTACCACGAAACCTGTGTCTCCATATGCCGCCACATGTGCTGCACCTCCTGTCCAGCTATGAAATCCCAAACAACCCTCACGAAAGATCCGCAATCCTTCACTACTCCCATCAGCACCCTACCCAGTGCTACTCAAATTTCTCCATAGCTCTTCAAAGTGCCTGACTTTTACTGACGCTACGCTTACTGGCTGTCAAGATTCACCTTCCATGCGCCACGTCAGAAGAATCCACTTTTCCCCTCCAACCGCGACAATTGCGCTGCTCCTCCCGCCGCTGTCCAGCTATGAAATCCCAAACAACCCTCACGGAAGATCTGCAATCTTCCTTCACTTCCATCGGCACCCTACGCAGTGCTACTCAAGTTTCTCCATAGCACTTTAAAGCTCCTTCACTGACTCTAGCGCTTCCTGGCTGTCAAGATCCACCTTTCATGAACCACGTCAGACAAATCCATTTTCTTTGCCTCAACCGAGACACTACCACCACAGCCGCATCAACGCTATGCACTGATGTGGTGAACAGATCAAACCTGATTGCTGAAGCCATCAAAAACGCAGCACTAGAATCGACTTTCGAACATCGTATCCTCCTGGCGTATGTTGCATAGACAGGCGTGCTGCTTAAGAGAGCAGAGCCCTCCGCAAAGCTGGCGGGCATTCTCATATTCTCATTCTTTTTGGCCGCACAGCTGTCCAAAAGCTCGGTGAGGCCTCCTGCAGTGTTCGTCTGCACGCATATCTATGCACGTCCTTCGCAGTCAAAAGTGCAAGTGCGCAAACTGCGAATTATCAGGTCACACTTTTCACCATCCTCATGCATGAATGACAGGCAAAGCAGCGTGTCTCGCGCGATACATCGTTGAGCCACCCAGAGGCGCAAGCACAACTCTTGGGATCTTCAAAGCACTTGCCTGGAACTAAAAAGTACACGATTGTCGATCCCTCAACCCTACCACGCAGGCGCAGATAGTCTATGCCGGTTGCTCCACCCTAGACAGAACTGCCGCAAATATTCCATGAGCTCTAAAACAAGCTGATTCGAGAAGCAACCAAGTTCCAAACGCGTGCACTATTTTCTAAGCAGTAAACGACGTGTCTCACAATGCGTCTTCGAAATTATGTAGTGCAAGCGGACACAGGTAAAGGCACGTCTTGCGACCGAGATTTCAACTTTACGCACGCATGGGCTATTGCCCAGTCGAGCCCATTTTTTCTCCAGATATAGGCGAAGTTACTCCAGCAAGAGTAAAATGAATTAATTTATTTTAGTAATGCAGCGCACTCCGATATTAGCTCAGGGCCTATCCTCCCACGCAGTTATCACTAGTGCAGGTTTTCTATTGGATCAACCTGTAAAGTGTCCAATAGCTAATCATTTTGGGTCTTTAGCACCACCGCAAAGTTTTTTCAGTCGAAACCTGCCTGAGTTTCAGAAAACAGATGCGTCATGGCAAAACAGGAATACTTGTGCACTCATGCTCGTTGACCCCATGGTCCAGCTCATGGGTAACGGAGGGCTGGGTTCGCTGCTTGCTTCTCTCATTTAAACGACCAGTATAAAGCATTGAGAAGTTCAAGCATCAATGAAATTGGTATACGTTGCTCTCACCATGAGGTACACGCGAGGAAAGCGAAGGCCATTGTCCAGCCGTCAAGGTCACAATGCTGTCTTAGTTAGCAGGAGGTCTAGCCATAACTGCAAAGACGATAAAATTGAATGTTTCCAGCTGTCTACACAAAATACATAAGCTCAAGGCAGCTGCTGATATCGACTTTCACGTTGGTGGCATGCTAAGTTCCTTGGGTGACATGAATTTTTCACAAATGCGCCTCCTGCGCTTTAACACATGTGCCACGGGGTGATCTTAAACTGGAAGTTCATCAACCAGCAGAGGATAAGTGTGCCTGAAATAATGATGCTAATTTTGTAATATTGCACCAAGGGACAAATTTGTTAACAGTGGAATGAGGTCACTGTACGCTGTGGAAAGCGAATGTGATCGATGAGAACGCCGGGGCTAGGACGTGCAACGGAATCTTGCCGGCGCGTTATCTGCAGGCATTCTGAAAACTTTAGATGGTATAATTTTGCATTATTTAGCACTGCCTTTCATATGAAAATGTTCGACATCTCGTTGGCCCTCAGTATTTTCTTTTTGGCCGGTAGAGTGACGGGAGCTGAGAGCGCATTGAACTCCCGTGGCGAAGCGACAGTCGCCTCTGAAGAAACTGTGCTTACAATGAAAGATGTATCAGTTGCCGACTCTTATGCACAACCTTGGATTGGAGTGGCTCGTCGCCAAATTGTGGCCGGATATCTAGTCATCGCAGCAGCTGCGGCAATGGCGCTGATCTACACAATCATTTCTTGCTTCAAATTTATCAACAAACGCGGAGCCAAAGCTGGCATAGGTCATATGTTGAGGAGGCTGGCGGACGAAGCTGCTGACCAGTGCTCTGTAAGTCATCTGCGAGTTGTTCATGATGACCCCCGTTCAAGGTCTGATTGTGAGTATTGTGTAGCAAACCTGCTAGGGCGAGAGTGCGGTGGCAGCTTTTCTGCGGGTGCAAATACCAACGTTTTGCTGACCAAGACCCAGCAGCTGTGCTCGGCATCGCTAGTGCGAGCGTAGAAGCATTTTAAAGACATATCATCAGTGTAGGCTGCCGCAAGATATGGACGTTGTAGACTGTCATTGTTTATTTTCGGCGTTGGCGGCAAATTTCTTCGAACGGCGTTTGCAAATCTTGCCTTCGTTGCAATGAAATCGACACGGTCACATGTGGCAGCTACTAATCACGTGGTAGAACGCCAACCAAGGGATTTCCCCTTGTATCGATAAGTGTCTTTGGCGCAACGTCGTTGTTGAGCGCTGGCACGTTCGGTATATGTTAAGGCCCGTCCAGAGCCACTGGTTTGCTGGTGCACTGGTGGACACTCGGAAAGGTTTCAGACTGTTCTCGCCCGTTCTGCGTTCTGCAACGAATTGAATGCGCCATGCGGGAGGCTTCTGGAAATCTTTTCCAGAAGAATCAGCTGGGAGCTACCATGCATTTCAGACGGTGGTATGGTTTGGTTCTCACATATGGTGCCGCGTTTTGATCAGGGAATACATTTCATGTACTTTTGCTGCGGGAGATGCCTTCCAGCTAAAATTTATTTGAATCGCAATTGTGGTATTACTGTGGTTCCGATACTCTTGCAGTGAGTGCAGTGGTGATATGTGACAACATGTGCTATATGGTGCGTACTTGAGTTCGTTTCGCGCCGATAGGTGCTAACGAGCAAGCTTGCTGGCGAGCTAGCGGTTACGCATGGTGGTCTGAAGTTGCCACTGCATTTTCTGCGTTCTGCATCACATTGATGCAACACCCAAGTCTTGTCTGGTCGTTCGAGTGGCTTTCTGGGACAGGAAAACAAGAGCAGTTGGACACCGTCACAGACGGCAAACAGTGACGTTGCGCGGTGTTGACGCTGTGAGTTGCGGTTTCAGCAGCAAGTGCGTTTGGCGCATATGTGAGTCACGCGTTGCTGGGTAGGGTGAGACGCTTGCATGCAGGGGCGTGAGGATGGCGTTTCGGAGGAGCTTGGGTGAGCGTTGCAGGACGTTGTCTTGGCAGTGGTGTAGTTCGAGCACTGTATGGACGGAGTTTATTTGGGGGCAGACGCGTGTTTGTTTGGATGTTTGTGAGCATGTTTGGGCGGGGTTGTGGTTTGCAGTGGAGTTGGAGTGAACAGAGTGTCTTTGTGGGAGAAAAGCACAAGAGCAGTTGGACAGCGTCACAGACGGCAAACAGTGACGTTGCGCGGTGTTGACGCTGTGAGTTGCGGTTTCAGCAGCAAGTGCGTTTGGCGCATATGTGAGTCACGCGTTGCTGGGTAGGGTGAGACGCTTGCATGCAGGGGCGTGAGGATGGCGTTTCGGAGGAGCTTGGGTGAGCGTTGCAGGACGTTGTCTTGGCAGTGGTGTAGTTCGAGCACTGTATGGACGGAGTTTATTTGGCGGCAGACGCGAGGAGCTTGGGTGAGCGTTGCAGGACGTTGTCTTGGCAGTGGTGTAGTTCGAGCACTGTATGGACGGAGTTTATTTGGGGGCAGACGCGTGTTTGTTTGGATGTTTGTGAGCATGTTTGGGCGGGGTTGTGGTTTGCAGTGGAGTTGGAGTGAACAGAGTGTCTTTGTGGGAGAAAAGCACAAGAGCAGTTGGACAGCGTCACAGACGGCAAACAGTGACGTTGCGCGGTGTTGACGCTGTGAGTTGCGGTTTCAGCAGCAAGTGCGTTTGGCGCATATGTGAGTCACGCG